TTAACGAGTGTCTCATATATCGACAATCGATACACACTACTGTTATATAGCGTATTTGGATTCATTTTTGATGGCTTTTTATATGACTCTTTTTTTTGTTTGTCTCTTGTGGCTTCCAGTTTTATATTACAAACTACAAGCAAGAAAAAAAATTAATTAACAACTCTAGCTGTCTTGAAAATAGTCAACAACATTTTCAATTGATATTTGGTGAAAGACATAATAAATTGAACCAATTGGAACGAAAAATAGTAAAATTAATACAGATTTTCACACCTCGTTTTATTGTTTTTCGACTATGTTTGCTTACCTTCTTTTACTTCTGTTCCTCTTCTCTTCGCTTTTTTTTTCTTCTTCTTCATCGTGCAAATAATGAGTTTAAGAGACAAATATATTCGGGAATTTCTGAACATTTAACGAAGGGAAAATTATTGCGTAATTTTAAGAAGTGCAATAATAATAACATTTTCAAAGTAGTCTAAAGCCAATTAGCTCGTTTAAGGTTTGGGAATTTTTCAGCTTGGCCTTTGTCTAAACAAATGTCATTAGTATGCGTTTCGACTTGAATGCATTAGCATAAGGACAACACGTGTAGTATGGAAAAACCAAAAACTATTTTTTCCATTTCTGTCTTTCTTTCGTTGTTCTTTTTTCCCCATATTTCCTTTGCTTGTTAGTTTTACCTTGCATTCATAAATCTGCATAGGTTTTTTTTCTCTCTGTTAACGGGGGAAAGTCAATGCAAATTAACGAGATAAACGTAAATTCCATACAAATGCTATTGTTTGTGTTAAGAATCACTTTTTTCATCGTATCCTTTTGAATTCCATTCGTTGTACATTTCAAACTTTGTACTTTACCTGCTTGTGGTAGGAAAAATTCCCCGAGAGATGCTAGACAGTCTGGCGACTGGTCCAGTGAAAATGGCACTATCATCCATAAAATATGAGATAATAAACAAATTGCATGTGTACCGGTAACTCACCACCAGTTTTGCTGTATTTTCCCAGCACATGCAGAGAAAAATACCGAGAAAAAGGAACAGTGCAAGTTTCCCCCGCATCAAGTTGAAAAATTCCCCGTCAAAAAAGAGAGATGTGACACTTTCAGGTTCGGGAAAATTATTCACTTTGACACACAAACTTGTTTTATAGCAAATGGAACAAACGAAACAATTGAAGAATGAACAGTAAAATATTCAAATGTTTTGCAATGTGAACAAAAAAAAATCCCAAAATGATTTCACACGCTCACTTGCCGGAGATCAATAAAAGTTCCCAAATTCAGGCTGTTAACTTGATTTTTAAATGGCAACAAACACCGCCTCATCCTTCGGCCAAATTTGATCAATTTGAAAGTGTTTCGAGTGCAAATGGGATCAAACATAAACTTCGATATCAAATATCTTCGAAACTTCGATCGATCGATTAAAAGATGGTCCATGAAAAGTGATCAAGCGAGATTTGTTTGCATCAGAAATTTGTTTTCACATATATATAGTACGGTTGAATTTGATGACGTTGTCTTATTTTATAACTGTTTAAAATTCGTTTCGGTTGAGCGGATTTTTTGTGTGGCTCGGTCGGTCATTTATCGCTTTCGTTGATTTAACCGAGAAAAAAATGTTCGTGCGGATTTATTTTCATCATCGTTTTATGTAAACTCTTCGATTTGTTAGCAATGGATCTTCTTCTCTCTTCCTTTCTCGCCATCTCTCTCTCTCTCTTTCATCCGAGTAAATTTCATTGTCGGATCCCGACAATGTCGGTTGTTTTGTTCATTTAAGTGCGCGTATTTACAAAAGTGCGCAAAACGCATTTATATTTATGGACAACATGAAGAATGTACCGAAAAAAATCGAAATTATGGTCGTGTTTGGCATATTAATGAGCCCAGCACACACATCATTCTTTTGTGTGCCTTTAATCTTGTACGCAAAACGCTTTATCGTTGTTTCGACGATGAATCCAATTGCAATTCATCCCAACAACAACGAACAAAAAGCATACGTACAAAGAGAAACACAGAGAAACAGATAGATAGAAAAATGAGTGAGACAAACACTCAAAAACTTGTTGACGATTGCGATGCAACGCAAAAATCTGTAAGATAATAAAAACGCGTAATAAAATTAATTTTTACTTATCGAAACGCTACTATCGAACCAAATTCGCTGAACGCCTTCTTTTGTACATATATACACTTTTTTTCGCTTAATTTTTGATGATTTCAGTTAATATTGTTGTTTTTCTTTTTTTCATTGAAGTTGTGCATGGACTGTGTACAATTCAACAACCGGCCCAAAAGAAAAGAGAGAGATATTTATCGATTTTTTAAAATTTTATGGCAGTCATCAATTAATTTATGATTGTCGTCATAAAATACAATATTTTCAAGCGAAAATATGTGCAACGCTTTTAAAATTGGCAGTGCGCGTTCATTTCGCGTTGTCACATTTGTTTATTCGATTGGCTTTAAATTTATGACGAAGCCAATAAAAAAAACAAGCGAATCACATTCAATACACGGACGAATGGAAACGCAGACATGGCCAATGAGTACATATTTTATGTGAATTCTTTTCCTGTGATCACATTTTAATCATTTGTGAACGAATTCAAAGTGAACACACAAAACAGAAACAAGCTTAAAATGTCTATCCTTCGTTCATTTGTTGAATGATTAAAGTGCCAAATTTTATGTGCAATTTAAATAATTTTTGTTTTGCTCCTCCGTGAGACGAAGGATTACTTTTTAAATGGGTTTCAAATTCTTTTTTTTCTTTCGTGTTATCTGGACATTTTACGACTTTTGATCGGTTATTGATCTTTTTCTTAATCATTTTCTATTTTTGCAAGAAGTTGATTCAAATTGATTGAAAAAAGTTTACATATAAATCTGTGCAATTTTTAAGGTCTTTAATATTCAAATCAAAGTATTCAATTTACGGCACCTGCTTGAGTCATCACGAACCACTCGATCGCGATGTGTGTGATATATACTCAGCGGTATTTCTCCTCAAAATCGCAGCGTTCCGTATCTTATGCTGAATTCGCTTGTACATGCTGTGTGAGCGTGTGTGTTGAAAAGAAGGGGAATTGCGAATCAATGTGATTGGTCGTTAGCCACGTGTTTTCATGAGTCGCTTGCAAAAATTGATTTTGCAACGTGCTGCGGTGGGGACAATTTCAAACGATACTAAAGAGAGACATTCTCTCTTATAGCAAACTGATTTGAGAAGAACTAAGAGCATTTGTATACCGATCTGCGTTGGGTTTTATGAAGTGTAAAAAATATATAAATGGAATATGCCACAGAACGGTTTCAATTCACAAATCGAAATCTGTTTTTGTGAAGACACACATTTGGTAATTTAATACATTTTCTATTTGTACTTTATGGTTGAATGAAAAGATGTGCTTAAAATTGACTCGCGCCCAACGGAACGATCAATAATGGTGAAAAATCGGAAAAAGAATGATCATAAATAGAGCAGCCGATCATCATCTGTGAATGACTGTTAAAATTTGAAAACAACCCTTCGGCAGACTCTCTCAATTTAATGAAAAAACAAGAAAATATGTTAAGAAAGACATAACGCACACGGCACACACCGAACTTATGCGAACAGATGGCATTTTGAAGTCAAAAAACCGTCTGACTACTCATTACAAAACAAACGATCGAATATTTGTATCAAAACGGAATGCTCGATTCATTTCCTTCTTGACAATTGGCTGCCAGTTCAATTGCCAACCGGTTTATTGTAGCCAATCTGTTTTACACTTTGTTCTTGAGTCCAAACTATAGATAAAATAGAAGAATAAGTAATAATTCACTTCGCCCGCAACACATTTAGTCATATAGCCGATATAATACAGAAAATATGTTGCGCTCAAAAGAAATAGTTCCATAAAAGCCATGGAACCATTCAATTTTCATGTGGATCAGACACGCGTAACGCACGAGCAATCTATTTCGTGCCTTTTTCTTCATTCCTTATAAAAATACCACTTTATCTACATTCAACAACAAGGATCAAATGTGTTATTAAATGCATCGAACTAAATTTTACAACAACATACGTCCTCTTCATTGCGTCTGCAATGTGCCGCCTGCGCAGGGATGCGTGAATATTTTTGTTTGTTGATTTTCATATTAATAATTTTTAGTTTAGTTTTCTTGAAACATTTTATGGCCGGTGTTGAGTGAAAAACTATTTTGCTTAGAACAATTTTCTCTGCTTCAACACTAGGCAGTAATTAGCACTGGAATGTACTACATACACATGCCCATCTGTTTTTTTTAAATTCAAATTCACGTTTCGTTGACTTGAATGAGTAGTTGTCGCCAGTGCCAGCGTGAATCGGCGGTGTATGACGATGGGCACTCGTGCAAAGACAGGTGGTGCTAAACAGAACAGTGTACATGCTAGTAAATAGTAACACATTCATTCAGTAGTACATTGAAACTAATGTCCTTCGTTCGTAATCGACAATTATATCGAATAATTTTTATGACTTAATATTATTCACTTCAAAATTAAATTAAATTAAAATTTAGTTTGAAATGTCTTTAATTTGTTTCAAAATGCTGTTCAAATGAAGAAAAGATAAGAATAAGCCGATAGTCCACGATGCATCAGCAAAAACCATCACTTGTTAGCAGTATATCACCAGTTGCATATGCTCTGTTAAAATATATCATAGAGTAACACATTCCGTTCCATTTCGCTTCATTTTAAATTGTATTGGGGTACAACACATGTTGTCAGCCCGTTCGCTTCGTTGAGGGGGTGCAAGAAAATTTCAAATTAACCATTTCACCACAATTGAGCCGAAATTATACGCAGAACCGAAAAATACATTTTTGAACTCTATATTTATAAACAAATATACTTTGTGTCGAGTTTATTTTTGAAAAACCATTTTTGTGGATTTAATTGAATGAATTCGATATGTTTAAAAAAAAATATTCTATTTGAATTTTTCCAATAAAAATTTAAACCGAAAATTAATTTTTGTATTTAACAAATGGAAAGAAAAACATGGAATTTCGATTGCAAAAACATAAAAAATATAATTAATTGCTTGGTCCTGGAAGTTCCTTCAATCTTCGTCGTCTTTCTTCCTCTAGAACTTCCGCTATTTCCTCTTTTTCTTCGATTTCTTTCATCGCTTTCATCGATTGGTGCGCACAGATACAAGGGCTACCTCCCAAATTTACAGCCACATTAGCAGATTTTTTTCCCACGTCGATCCCACTGTTAACCGTATTTACCACACTACCCGCTAAGGAAGTAGTTGAGTCAGCTACAAATTGCATAGTTCCATCAGGATCTCCTGCAAAGTCAAAAGGAAAACATCCAATCGCAACTGCTGAGGCAAGAGCTTCCACACCTACTTTAAGGCCATTACCAGCCAAATTTACCGTACTTTTTCCTAGTTCGACACTTGATTTACTAACTTTTTTTGCAGTTTTTTTAGCGCCCTGTTTCATAGCCATCACAATTTTTTTTGCTTTTCCTTTAACACAAAAAATTGTGAAACTTATATTACAATAATTTCATTTCAATATCAAGCACTCAGATAGCATCATTCCATGTTTTGTATAGATCTATCTATTTCTGAATATTTGTTCAATATCCATTAATACTTACCACCGCCATTCGCATTTGCGCATGGAATTAGGAGCTGTGAAATAAGACGAATATGAAAGAATAGTGAATGTGTTAACCAAGGTCTCAATCTTTTGTAGAAATTTATAAAATTACCTCCAAAGTAATAGTTACAATCAAGAAAAAACAGAGAGTCTTTCGATTCATCTTATCTTCACGGAAAAATTGACTGACATTTTTTATCAAATGACTACGGCTTATATTCATTTTGAAACATAGTAAAATTATTCATATGTTCAAAACTTATTTAAAAAATTGTTTGCTTATAAAACAGAATTTTATATACGCAGAACTTGTTTTTGTAAATGTTGTTTGTCAAAGCAATGATGTTGTTACTTTTCCGCACACACCTAGTTTGTAAGGTAAAGTATTGGAATCGGTCGAAAAATTAATACCCATCACAAATGTGTTTTATGGGTGTTTTTGGGGCCAGGGAACACAAATCAAACGTTTTTTCGATGTCCGAATGTATGTGCGTGGTACCCTGTACGCTGTACGCAAAAATTTGTTAACACGATAACTTTCAAACAAGAAAAGTAATTCAAAATCTGACTTCACAGGATGATTGGGGTTGCCGAGGAATAGAAACCATTAGATTTTGAGCGACTTTGGCTGATAGAGTGCCGTGTCATGTCTGGTGTGATGCCCATGGCCATCCATGGGAAAAATTCAATTTTTCATCCAAAAGTGATATTTAATGAATACATAAACCCAAAAAAATATGTATTGGAGGGTTTTTTGGCACGAGAAAACTGAATATGAGGTTAGTTTTGTGATACAAATAATTTTCGACACACTTTTCATACAAAAATTTCAAAAATTTTGGATTTTTGTATGATATCGTAATGAGCTGAAACTTTGCACAGGTTATTTTACATAACAAAAATAACATTCCGAGGGTTTGAAACAAAAATAACATTCCAATGCATAATAAGGGTACCTTCCGAACAAAATTTGTGAAAAAAACCTCTGCAAATTTTCACATGATTACGATATCATACAGGCATTGAAAAGTCTATCAAAAATTATTTGTATCTCAAAACTTATATCAGATTCAGTTTTCTCATGAATTCATATTTACGGTAAAAGATACGTAATAAATGCATGTTGCGGATCACAGTGCGGAAAAGTTCATCTTACGGATGTAAGATATTTTATTTTTGAGAGCTATGAGATCGCTTAATTTATAAAAAAATAATAATTATTATTGGATAGTAAAATGTACCCAGAAACAAATGTGAGTATTTGAAAATTCCAATCTAAATTTTAGTAAGAATAACAGAACAGGAATTTTCCAATTTCACACCTGTTACGAGTGCGCTTGATATTGTTATTTTACCCAGTATTTTAGATTATATAAAGTAAGTTTTTTCGATATTTTCATAGCCGTAAAATACACAAATGAATGTATATCTTAATTTAATTTTTAATATTGGGTAATTCGAATACGTTCCCCATAATGAATCGTATTTTATTATATGTGCTATGTTGAATATAAAATACCCATCTTATATTCTGGTAGTTAACGTGACACGCGTGACACGTGTGCCTTTATATTGCACGCAATTCATCACTCAAACATGATCAGTGAACTGTTTTAATTCATCTTCTACGTGTTTTATTATTTATTGTTTATCTAAACAGAAAATTGTTCTAAAAAATATGTATTTTTTAAAAAAGAACAATAATTCAATAATAAAATTGTATTGAAATATAATTATGATATTTTACATGAATTCTTGACACTACGATTATGTGTGCGAAAAAAAACACTAATTAGTGATTCGATTTTTTCCGCCATTTTCTCTAAGATAATAGTTACAGTCCTCTCTCTTGTATTTTTAGTACAAGCTTCATTAACCTAATTACCTTTGCATTTAAAATTGACCTCAGCATCCATTTTTGATTTAGTTCACAAGTGTCTTTCATGCTGTTTGGTCAATTGCTCTTTTTAACGTAAAAATGGAATCTGGTGTGTTTATTTTTTTGATTTTGGCCTTCAGCCAACTTGTTACCCCAATTAAATGTAATTTTGTCGAAAAATTCAATCCATCGTCATATTTGAAATATTTTAAAATTGAATCAAATTTTGTCGCTTTAAACTTGGCACAGAGAAACATTAGTGAAATAGAAGTGAATATATTCCATTCGTATACCAATTTACAAAAATTACAATTGTCACACAACCAAATAACGGACATTCCATCACTCTTGTTCCTAAAAACAGAAAAACTAATTAGTGTTGATTTTTCTTTCAATCAAATTCGGGTGATTGATGATTTTGCATTTGCCGGTGACTTTAAGTTGCAGAAATTAAATTTGTCGCACAATCAACTTACCTACTTCAAACGAAAATTTGTAAAAAATCATTCAAGTTTAACGCATTTAGATGTTTCGTTCAATCGCATTACCACTTTAGAAGCGGACACATTTGACCAACTTCATGCTTTACTGGTGCTGAATTTATCGGACAATTTCTTCTTAAAATTTGATAGTAGAACATTTTCAAAAATTAACAAATTACAACATTTAAATTTGTCATACAACGATTTATTGGAAATTGATTCGGGCACATTTTCACCATTAAAAAATTTACAAACCTTGGACTTATCGCATAACAAATTGAAGAATTTGGATATCAATATCCTTCCGCAGCCGCCGCATCAAATGAAGTTGCTTTCGTTTGCTTACAATCAATTAGCAAAGCTTGACGGATTTACAAGCTCAAACATGCTAAATATGAAAATTATTGGCATCGACAGCAATCGTTTTAGTTGCGCATATTTGGATACATTCTTTGAATCAATCACATGGAAACATTTAGATTCAATATCAAAACGGATTGAATGCAACGAATTTTATAATATTTTTAGTTACAAGTATTGGGTGGCAGTCATAAACGAACCGAAAACAAGGCCCGTCGAATTTAACCTTTTTAGGGATGGTCCTGCATTTGCTAAATTTATCGCTGTCTTTTCCATAATATCTACTATCGTATACTATATCGTAGAAGAAATATTTCGAGAGGAAAGCGGAGATCAGGTTAAATCTGAGGTCGGCGGTTTCATTGAAAATGTGCAAACTACTGAAGAAGTTTCGGAAACAAACATGAATAGTGATAGCGAAAATGAAATAGATTCTTCCGTTGAAGTCATTGACGAAACCTTTGACAGTTTAATGGAAAACTTCAGCGAGTCTGTCGAAGAAATTATGGAGGACTTAGAGAGTATAAGTGGAAGCATAAGAAACTTATCTGGTAAAAACTTGGTCGATTCTATCGAAATTTTATCGAGCGATCATGATTTTTTGTTATTATGAGTATTAAACTAATTTCAATGAAGAAGTACAAAGCACATATGTTTTAGCAATGTATTATCTATGGATTCTTCATTTCATTTTAGAATGTACACTTTAATAAAAAAAAAAATAAAGACAAATTTTTTAATTGTTAATTGTAATTTTATATTTATTTTCTTTCATACATTTTCAGCACTACTAAATGAAATGTAGGTTATTGATTTAGTTCTGTTTTGAAGTTATCCGAACCATGTATGTTTCAATCACCTTATTGCATATTAAAAGTCTTTAATTGTTTCATGTAAAGATAATAATAATAAAAAGTAAAAACAAATTCCCAGAAACCCCAAACTTAACGTCTAACATAATGTAGGGAATAATCACGAATTTATCTAAATTTTTATAGCACATTCTTATTTTGCAGAAAATATAATCCCAAAATCATGAGACTCACCGAAAATTTGTATAAACAGTTATGAAAGAAAGGGATTTAAAATATTATTTTTCTAAAATGTTTATGAGTTTAAATTTCGTTAAATGTTAGTGTTTCTTTTATTTGGTCTCCACTTTAAAGAAACGAAAGATTTCGTTGACAAAACAAAATATGTATTACACCAGATGTATTTCATCCATTACACATATTTTAAAGTGCTGAATGCTGATGAGATTAGAAGATTAGACCTAAATGAAAATATATCATATCGTAATCATCATATTTTTTTCACTCTTCAAAATGCAAATAACTGTGATCTTCTTTTTTTCGCTATTTTGTATGAATAAAATATTTTCTGATTGCATGAAAAATATTTTTCTATTAATATCCGAAAAGAAAAAACAAATTCAAAACTAGAATTAAATTCGATTTCAGTATGCGATTAATTTATTTAGCTATTATTCATTCAGTTTCAATGTAAAAATACATAAAAATGTTCGAAACTACCATTACAGATTAGCTAATTTGATAATGTGATGATTGATTCCAAATAGTCATTCAATTAAATTGATCGTAGTTTGCATGAACCAATGTTTGGCAAAAAGTCATAAAGTTCGTGCAACTACTACTCTATTGACCCAGTACGATCAAATATGAAACAATCGACTACGAAGTATAAGTCTCAAATAATTTTGGCAGAACGAGTGGTTTTTCTATAACAATAAGTCAGTTTGGTGGAGTTGTGCTCTCGCTTTGATCAAATTCAAGTTAAAAAATGAATGGCAATAAAACCGAATTGCAGGAAAACCGAATATAAATGCATGTTAAACATGAAAACATAATAATTATCCAATGTTCACCGCCATATAGCCATTAGACATATACAGCATTATATTATTTATACGGATCATATGCAAAGCATAAATCGATCTATGCTTCACATTCAATTGACTACTTTTCGATGGTTTTGGCTCTTTTCGTTTCAATATATGCTCTTGCACATGTGTAAACATACACTGCGGAACACAAAAACGTCTTCGATGCATGTTCGCTTCGAAGAACACGCAACTGTTCGGTCAATGCAGCGCATATATGCACTACTGTAATGCCTAAAAACATACAGCAACGGTATACGATCGATGGCATCGTCAACATCAGTGTCTAGTTTGTTGTCATTTTGTCCATTGAGTTCGGTGTGCATTCGTTGCTCTTTTTTTTCCTATGTCGTTGGTTCGCCAAATGCTTCGTTATGTTCGACGGATTGCATTTGTTAGCATCGAAAATGTTGCTGCTCTCTGCACGAGTGCCTAAGCAAATTGGGAGAAAATCTTAGTCATTTACACATGCTTTGCAGTGGTGTTTTTCTCTCTCTTGAATTGCTTATATATGGTTTTTCGTTTGGGTTTATTAATTTTGATAGATATGCGTGTAACTCGTTAAGTATCGAAAGTGTTGAGTGCTGCAGACTCTCGAAACCAAATCTCCTACGTAGGTGGCGGAGATTTTTCTTGTTTATTGATGGCGCCAATCTTATGACTTATTTCTTTGCAATGAAAAGTGGCCAGTTGTGAAGCACTCGTATGAAAATGTGTTAGGCCAAAGATTAGGATATTGCGTATTTCGCCGCGACATTATTTATATTCTACATTGCATTGCGGTTTGTTGATCTCTTGTATTACAATTGTGCAATAAAATCGAGAAAATAAAACAGTTTTTTTTTGGGTTTGAAAAACTCCTTTGTTTGCCATGTTGTGTAATAATTTAAATCATTGATTTAAACACGACAGACCATTTTGAAATGACACAAGTCAATTTAAGGATTTGAAGAAAACCAAAGATCGAAAAAAATGAACGAAAAATGAAAATGCCCGATACTTCAATATTAAGCAATTTTCGATTGGTTTCTTTCACTTGTGTCAATTTCCTCACCTGGAGGGCTGTCACTTTCAATCATTTTTATGTGATTTTGATTAAACACAGTCACACTTAACGATTGATAATGATTGCCATATCATAATTTGTTCAATTTTATAAGGTACATAAAACTGCCGCAAAACAAAAACACACACATACGTACCCAGTTGTTGATCGAATAAATGTTTTTTTAATTGCGATTAATCAATGAACGTGGTCCAACACTCGCTGTTCCAATCGATCGGATGGAAAGAGAGAAAATGAGATGAAAAATGAAAAAAATATGTTGATCGGATTTCTTTTTATGTATTATGCGCTCCGAAGGCGGCCAATACGCAAGCGAAAAATTGTAGCCGCAACGAAACAATAAATGGTTTGTCGAACACAAAGCGGCGGCAAAATTCAATTAATAAAATTGTTTGCAACACATGTAATTTATTATGATTAAATTATAAATTATTGTCTCCGTTGAATCGACAACGCGCGCGTACACATTCGGTCGCCGCACAATTTTTCTTACGTGCATTTAACATTTTCGCATTAACTCATTCGATGTGTGTGTGTTTTTTTTCACCACATTCAATTTCATTTATATAGATCATGTTGGGAATTTGTTCATATTAAAGGAAATTGGTTGAACGGAATAGGAGAAGAAAAAAAAGTGTACACACACCACATCGAAATTACGAATAGAATTTACGATTGATTCGGCGACATTAAATTTTTGCTACATGTGCACCACTGTCTGTGTGGTCTGTTCTAAAGCATTTTTTAAAAAATTGCGTTCGAATCGAATAGAACGATACGGAAAAATAGTGTACAAATGTGTTAATGGGTGTTTAGCCCGCTGTGTCTCGTACACTGAACCAATATGACAACATTAAATAAAAATGTTTACGACATTTTCCATGAAATGCATATTTGAAATTTATGCCCATAACTGAAGACATACAAACCGAATGACTAACAATTCGATCGTGAACGAGTTATGAATAATAGAAATCACAACACTTCAAATGGTTCAAAATATAGACAGCATCGATAGAATGAAATTCAAGTGTTTTGCTCTGGTTCACGTTGACACACCTTCTGCACATAAAATGAAACGATACGAAGAAACCTCTACTGATAACTTTTGTTTCAAGTGTTAGACACACAAAAAAAGAGATCACTTTGAAGAAAGAAATGCTGGACGATTCTTTTTTGGAGAAATGAGAAAGATTTATGGCTTTGGTGATGCCCATTTCAATTTTTACCATTTTATTTTTGCCTTACGCATATCGATGAGAAATCGATCAAATGCACTTGACTTTGTGGTTCAAATTTTCATGCTCTTTTCTCTCATTTTTCATCTCGAATAACCAACCTTTTTCTATTTATAAAGCAATAAATTAGATTTGTGTTTCGTAGAATATTTTATGCGTTTATGCTGATTTTGTGTTTCAGATTTGATTGTGATAGGCGGCTGAACTCAAAATTCCGGAGAACAGTTTTTTTTTTTAAAAGAAAACAATTTTCGATTAGATACAAAGAAAGAATATGAACTAGACATATTATTCAAGCAAAGCAAAAAATTTTATGCGTTTTTTTAATGTCTTCATTTAACTTTTTTTTTTTATCTCGAAAGAGATTAGAAATTTGAGCCACAAATATTGAGCCATATCTTTCAAAAAACGAACACAAAAAAATGATCGTAAACGGTCGGTGACATTTAAAACTCAAAACGAAATTGTAAATCATTCTCGATTTGTTATGATCGCTCCTATTTTTACTTATCTTGGCCGTTATTCTGAATATCATTTTTATTGCTGTGTTTTCGTTGCTTGCTGTGACAAGTTTTTGTTTTCTCTTTCAAAAAGAATCAAACGATTTTTATTTTTGTTTTCGTCTGTGTTTTGCACAAAGCCTCTGATTTGGCACGAAAATAGATGATTTTTTTACCGATTTGATGAAATGTGAATATCGCTTAAGGGATAAGATTTGGCTTGACCCATAACAATTTTTCGATTGTTAACCACGAATTTGAACTGACACCGATAAATGATGAATGCGCTTGCAGTTGCGCATTAAGTCATAATTCTTCACATTATTATTTTTTTTTTAGATATTTTTGTGTGTCGATTCGATGATGTCATGCACTTTGCGGCCACCTGCGGCATCAAAAGGTCATGTGCACAAACAACGTGTATGACATGAACTATGCACGCTCCCAATAATATAATAAGAACTGGTGCAAATGACTGAAGAGTTTCACAAACGAGGAAACAAACTGCACGATAAAAATCACCGACACATTGAAATGGCACCAAAGGCGTCACGGTGCAATGTGAACATTTTGTTGTTTATTATCGAAAGATTAATCGAAAGCCATTCGTCAATCGATTGAGCATTAGTGCTTTATTGATGATACTTGCTGGTTGTGAAAGCGACTCTTACAAAACTCGTTCAAACCGACTGTGCAATCTGATTAATCTAGCGAGAGCAAAACAACAAAATATCAACGTAAATAACTCAAAATAAAATGAAGATCATTCACGGTAAATTCGAAGAACACGAATTTAAATCAATCAAATGAAAATAAGTGAATCAAGTATGTCGATTAAATTTTTTAGATAAATTGGCACAGACGGAGAAAATATTGCAATGATATTGTCGAAAGCCATTTGTCGGTTTTGCAAACGACATTATGATCGCTGAGATCTGAGCGCGCGCGCACAGATCACGCTGTACAATTCAATTAATTTGCGAGCATTTGATGGAAATGAAACTAAAAGACACCAATATCTATTTTACACCACAACCGAGATCTCGAACTCAATTTCAAAATGATTTAGGACGAACAAACACGTTGTCTAATCAAGATCGCTTACACAAACTGAGTCGTCAAAAACTCTGGCACAGACAATTCGATTTATCATCGTGCATTCAACATATTGAATGCGAGTGTTTGCGCGCGCACCCGACTCTTCTAACCGATTACGTTGCCTTCACCTCGTTTTGCATTCTAATCGGCAAACGAGATTTAATTTATAAATTTGCGCATACACCAAATAAAATAGAATACGGCAATTTTGCCGCAATGAAAAAAAAAAGAAAGCATAATATTCAATTGATAAATTAGTACAACATTTGTAACTGTTGTGCCATGTGCAATGTATTAACGATTTTTGAGATTGGCGCCTGTGATGCCTGAGTTGGTTTATCAATTTTTGCGATTAATGAGTTTTTGATTTCGTTTGTTTACGTTTTGTGATCGAGTTAATGCCCATACATTATTATTATTGCTGTTGAGTTTTCCTCGTTTTAAAACAAGCAATTGATTACTTCTATTTGGAATTACCAGCACTCCTTTGGCTTCACAAAAAACTGAGTCATAGGATTAACAACATTTTTTTTTTGAATAAAAGTAATGTTTTCCTGAATATATTCAAATTCATGTATTACATTGCATTCTCTCAACATATATATCGAACTCTTTACAAAAACTCTAAATGGTAATGTAATATATTCCCCGGGCGATTGATCGATGATCACCGATGATGCACATTTTTTATTATTTCAGGTATACAGATAAGAGATGCAGTGTGTTTCTGGGTGGTAAAAATGACAAATAAATCCATTAAAAGACAAACATTTGTTGTACATTTTACAACAATTTCAATCTTGGCCGAAAGCAATCAGTTAATATGTTATAACGATAACTGAATTTGGGTGATATACGGTATTTTCTATTGGTTATGAGATTTTCCATCGCAATAACAATCTCATTACTTGATTATATTTTTTAGTTTCGCAAATTTACCGATATATTTCTTGATGTAAGGAAAGGTAAGAAATGAGCAAAGAAAAATGAATAAAAATATTTGAACGTGAAAGAAAAAAAAAATACAGATTGATATTATTTTTACAACATATCAATTTGGGAAAAATTGTTCTTCATTTCAAAAAGAATTGTTTTCCCCTGATCGTACGACTTTAGTTTTTATGGTGACCTTTTCATGTAAGTGATATTTTTCTATGCATGACGTGAATTAACTCATGCAAATCATAAAAAATAATATAAACATGTTTGAATATCGATAGCCATTTGAACTTGATGTAGAGAATATTTGCTTATTTAATGATGCAATTTTTCATAATGTGTGACTCATTTTAAAATGTTTCTATAAACGATATTCAAAAATAACTATCGACCAATAGACAAGTTTTTACAGTACAGGCTAAATCTCATCCGGGTGGTCTGTAACATTTGTTCAATACGGTAGCAACTTGTTTATTAGCAACAAAAATAATGAATGACAATCAATAAAATCGAGAGGCATGTGAATGTTCAACAACAGAATTTTGTCAACAGGTTTCGGTTAGGAATTCGAGGTTATTTTAATGAGTCAATAACCGCAGTGCAGTACCAATCGATTATATGTATAAACAAATAAAAAAGTTCGACCAATGTACCATATGAATGATTGTTTGTTTTATTTTAATAGACAAAGTGATTTATCACCAAAGTAACAACCACTGCACACATATTACAATATAAATTCCATTTTGTGTTTAAATAAATTAAGTAATAAAAAAAATACTCAAAGAATAGCTGCTCAAAAAGGAGCCGTTATTGAATAATGACTGATATGAAAATTTAAATTTCATTCGGGTAAATCATTACATCTTAGAAGACCAGGTCTTCGATATATTCTCTCTTTCTCTGGCAATTCCCCGATTTCATACTGTTTGAGAGAGCGTAAGGCAAACTCTGAATGGCCACGGAAAGCAACACTCGCATCACGGCCAGCATATTCGATGATCACCTCGCTTCCGCCTGGATGCTGAAAATTTCATTCCTTTTAATTAATTTGATTCGAATCAATCTTCAATCTTTTATAATTACCCCATTTAAAAATTTGGTCACATCATAAACACGATCGTATAAAATAATCCAACAATCATCGTATGAATCGTGTTCGGACACTTCCCGTAGCGAGATAGTCGGTCGGCATTTTTCTTGTATCAAAACTGTCTCATCATTAGTTATTAATGTTTTTGATTTACTCCATCGTAACGTTCTCAATACAGTTGTTAGAACCTGTTGACCTTTTGCGATAATTTCAATCTCATTGATATTGGTTTTCGTTTCAATGTTATTATGTACACTTTTAGCTATGCACACACAATCCTCTCGGCAAATTATGCACGGATTTGATCGATATTCGAAGTTAGCTGTCGGTGCCATTTCGTTTAGTTATTTTTTTTTGTATTCAAAGTTCGTCGCTTCAATTAATTAGAATAATGTTTATTTTTCTTGCAAATTTGAAATTTTATCAACACTTATCAGCGTACACTTTTGTGTATTTTCGTTTAAAATAGATCGTTTTTCGTGAACTTTACTTAATTTTCTGTTCCAGTTTTATTTCAATATCAATTCTAATTTCGAGTCGAAAATTCAACAACGCTCAATCGATGCGATCTTGTTGAAAGCACAATTCAAGTCACACTAATATAAATTATCGCTGGTGTTTCATTTAAATATCATCTGTCCACGTCTACAATGACACTTTTATGACGCGGTGTTTGTTAATCATGATCGCCACTCGTCTAAAACATATGAGACGAAAGCAAAAACAAAAACCATCAAATTGAAAGTAGAAAAAATAGCATAAAAAGCCGTCGCAAGATTTCATATGGAAACAAGAACAAATCACGTTTATAATTGTTGATAGCAGTTGTACAGGGTTTGCGCATTGTTGTTGATCAAATTATTCACTTTTAACGCACATTGCCCTTAATGTTTTGCATAAGTTGCAAACCCTGTTTGCTCGTAGAACATATGGATTTTTATTCGGTGGCCAAAGTACATTTGAAAAAACAACTTGGCGCTCCAGATTAATTCCATTATGCTAAAATTGAATACCTTTAAATCATCTGATACGAAGCCATATGAGTATTAAATGTGAAAAATCATTGACATCGAACGGTGTTGCTATGTAATGTATAGAAATTTTACAGTATTAACAGATCAATACAACATAACATATTATTTACTAGATATTTGAGTAATATGCTCATTTTTATTGAGACAAATACAAACGAAGATATTATTTCAAGACCATTCCGCCAAATTTGCAGTTCAATTACATAACATTGCGGTAAACCAGAAGTTAGAACAAACAAGATTACCGTGTTCAGTACGTATTAAATTACCCCCAAAAGTCAAATTGACGTCAGTGACTCGAATCATTTGAAAAATAGAAACAATTGCATTTATTTTTGCTTTAATTCAAATATTCAAAATATTATCAATTTCTATGATGAATTTTTTCACACACTTGTATAAACTTTCTATCAATAAACCCATTTGGGTTTTTATAACACTGATAACGGAAACGTGACTATACTGTTTGTGCTATTGAAAACATCGTTGTTATTGCATCAGTAAAAGACGATTTGTCTTGAGAATAATAACATGCTACAAATATCGTGCAATTCTAATGATTATGCGACCTTCATATAGAATTTCACCCAGTTTTCATTATCAAACAAATAATAAATAAATAAAGGCAACGACGCAGTTTTTTATAATAAAAAAAGAAGAATAAGAATTTGAATTGTGATAAGGACCAGAATGATTTATTGAATGATTTTATTTATGTTTCGGTCTGTTTTACTCTCTAAAAATAAAAATAAGATAAATGTAACAGTCATTCGGACTGCTTGATTGATGTTCAGTAAAAAGCAGTGTAAATCTAAATAGCTCGATTCGATATCAAATTCTAAAACAAGAAAAGTTCAATGAAAGTCAATTTTATTTATTTCATACAAATGTGTGAGGTCAATTTTTTCCCTTTTTTATGCTCTTTATCATGTTCTGTTTTTCTTTTAAATTTCAGTTATGTTCGCAGCCATTTTTTATATATTAGAAAAATATGACGCGAAAGAAATGTACGCAATTCAATGTACGTATTACTTCAAGTTCAAAATACAAAAAATTGGCACAAAACAAATCACGCCTTCAAAAACGAAAGAGTTTTTGTTATTGTACAACATAAAAACCGTTGATAACTAAAACAAAAGCTTTCTATAGATAAAAAAAACGTTCACTGATCATTCACTTCAAAGGCATTTCATCAGCCGATTTTGATTCGGCAAGAGTTCTGAAACATCTTCGAATATTCACTTCCTGTAATCAATACTAATTATACTGATTTGCCAATTTGACTTGATAGAAAGTGTCTTATCATCAAAACAAAACTCGTGCCAAATTAAAAAAAAACGTGCCAAATAAAGATAAGAAAGATCACGGCTTCTTTTTTCTAAAGTCTATGTACAACATTTAGCAATATGTTGTAACCGAAAATGCGTTGTTTGATTATATTTTTTTTAAATGTTTGAATGTGATACAAATGATAGAACCCAACAGCTTTTCGTTGGAACTTTCAACAGCGCCATCTCGTGAAAAGTGATAGAAACTCCATTGAAAACATTGAATACACTGTAAAATACTGAATTTTGTATTGATGTTAACTTTTTTATATCTGCAAGAATCTTTAGTATAATTCGTGTTGTTCCAGTGAATTTTTAAATCATATTCAAAACAGTGGTACCAAGTTACCATACAGATTGTTGAATACTCCTGTGAGAGAATAAAGTAAGCCACAAGTGTATGTAGTGAATAGACTACACCCCTGGAGCTTGCGAATTAGTACGATGAAAGTATATGCGTATTGAATGTTGCGCAAAACAAAGGAGTTTCCTCGCTATACATAAATAATCATATATATATTTGATGTTGTGTTTTCTATGATAAATGTATTCATTTGTCCCGCTGGACTGCAGTGCATGAACTGTGCACATAGCTAGTATATTCGATAGCAGCAAAATGTTTTTCATTCGCCTGTTGATTTACATACCATTTTACAAACACAATAACAAACAGCTACTTGAAATGGAAGATAGAACAAAGCAATAGAACTGAACGAAACAAACGACCACAGCAAAAACCAAAAACAAACTCTTTTCCCTTTAATGGTTGTTTCTTCTGTGTTCGCACATTTTACTTGTTTACAATATGAATTTCCCTCAATAGAATTAGGTGGCGGCTGGTCGTAGTCGTATATTCATTTTTTCCATTTTCTCGTGTATGTTAAAGAATAATGGAATGCTCAACACGAACACAAATGTACACAGACTCACATCTATCGACTGCTTGTCGTCAGCATATACACACGCGTGACTTGTATGTTGAGCGCCGTTTTCCTCCCATAAACAGTTTACAATAACGAACACTTTGCTTTTCACTAGTTGATGTTTGCCATTCCATCAGATAGGACCGTTCTGTCAAGTAGCCTTTATGTTCAAGTTTAGTTATCGAAAATATTTGCCAACATTCATCATTCGCTTGATTGAGGAACCTGTTGTTTTCATTCGTTTCAGTTCCAAAGCACATAGCACGCATTTTAATTAAGTACTCAAAACTTGTCGTTCAATTAACAAAGCATCAAAGTTTTCAAATAATTTTAACTTGATTGTGTTTTACCACTTTGGTGTATTTTTTTTTTACTTTTTCGGAGTGAAAATCGTATTGGAAACTTTTGGTTTGGGATTTTCTTACCATATGCTTGGAAATTCAAAACGAGTTTCAATTAATTTCAAGTGTTTCGATGTTAAGTTTACTTCATTTTCTCGATTTTCAAGCATAATGATACAAATTGAGTGCCGATAAAATCATTTAATGGGTTTAAATTGAGAAAAGGCCGAATCTTTGAATCAGGTAATTCCACATTTGAATTTTATCATTTGAACTTGAACAAGCTCATTTCGTTTCAACATTTTTTTAGATAGTATAAAACGATTTTTGCTTGCTAGTATGATAGTGGTATCCTATATTTGAATTAAATTCAGTAGCTTGCGCTCATGAAATATTCATATTTCTGTGATAAAACTTAATTTACCATTGTGTTTGTCGACGTCCGATACAATGCGCAATTTTCCCAAGATTGGGACGTGGTCTGTTTGAATAGCATAGAATGACAAAGAGGAAGGAAGTTTTTTTCTTCGTTTACGATTAAAGAGAATTTTTGATAGATTTAGATGTGTTCTGAACAAAGTTGATGGCCCCCGAATTTAATATCCAAACATATGGTTGAATGAATGGGTTTGGCTGCAAAATTTTGAGTTACGTTATTCATTAGGCCGTATGCCTTTAATCTGAGCGGGTAACGAACAATTTTATTATCTCCACAGACATTTCGGCAAAAATTAAGAAAAAAAACCACAACGAACGCCAAAATTGCATGAGACCAATAACGCAATTTTATGTCTGTATTTAAAGGTGTGATCCAGTCTTAAACAGAACATGAAATTTTTGAATGATTTTATGGCTCACAATAAAAACCTCTCATTTCATTTTCGTATTTGTCTGCTTGTTCTGATGTAATAGAAAACTGTTTGCACAGTTGTCGATGGAAAATCCGCATGTTTGCGTACGAATAATAATAATTTGCAATAAAACCCAGATAAACCGAGACAAAGGTTAAAGTGAGCTTGAATCATGTTGTTTGCTATGCTTCTCCTGAGATTTTCACGCCAAATCCTTCTTATATTTAAACCATTTATTCTCTTTTTCGCTGGCACTTCTCAGAAGCATACAATGCAGGACTGTCTGTCTAAAGAAAGCTCAATGTGTGACGGCAAATGGCGCACAAGAATCAGCACAGGTGATTTGTACCATGTTAAATTAAACGGGACAAGCAATCACCGTAAAACGAACAAACTGTAGTCATATCGTATTTAAAGTTAATGGCTTGTGTGATGCGTTGCCATTAGAAAAGATTTTCCAATGCCGTTGAGAAAAATTATCATCATGAGCAATTTTCAAAATTAAATGTTATAAGTGGCAATCACATCAAATTACAATCAACAATATACATTTTGTTGTTTCGACAATGAAAAAAAAATGTACTGAAGAAAAATTAATTAACAAAAATAGAAATTGCGTTGTATATTTGATGTTGAAAGAACAGTATTTTGCTTCCATTTCGCATGACAATAACAACAAAAGGCTTAATGGCGCAGAGGCTATGCAAATGATGGGATACTTTTTAAAGAGAAAAAAACCATCAAAATCAATTTTCTTTTTTTAGCGTCTAGCTAAATAAAAAAAAACATAAACTCAAATGGAAAAGTGGCCTGTACTATGTTGTGTACAGAGAATTTATTTTTCCATGGAAAAACGATGATAATAACCAACGAGTAAGTTATATTGTAAACAGTGTCCTTGGTTCAGAGTTAAAACATTGCGACGATCTAAACTGCTGAAATGATCCGGAGCACTTATCAACAATGGTGTAAAATACATAACATTAGAAGAGCTATTCGTCTTCTATGAACATTATTTGTCACTCATTGTGTTGGTGTTTATTATAGCGATGATTCGTACAATAATTTTGAATGGAAAAAAGGGCGAGGTGCTTTGAATAAATGAGGTTCTAAGATTTGTTGTATTAATGACATGTGCTAAAGGATTTTTTTTATATGTTACGCCTTATTTCATTCGTCAAATCGCTTTTTTCATTGGATTTTTGACGATTTTATGAGAATTTTAAACTATGTTTCAATGGACTTTTATCCTCTCGGTCCATTTGTGTGTGGAAACGCCTATTATGTCATAAACTATATCGGTGGTAAACAAATTGAAGAATGTCATAGCTTTAAAAATATTTTTCATCAGTATTGCTTTCAGTAAAATTATGCGAGGAACAATTGAAACAAGTACTAGAGCAAAAATGAAATGAAAAATGAAAACGATTTTGGGATTTGTCTACATTTTACTCAAATGTGTCCTGTTGAGACTGAAATAACGTTGCAATTGTTTTTGACCCGTTTTACACGCTCAGCGGTGTATGTATAAGAAAGAAATCTTGCATGCAAACAATATATTCTCTCCCTTCTATTGATTGCTTTTTTTATATTTCGATCCTTTTCGATACATTTTTGATGTAATATTTCTCGAGAACATGTCAAGCTTTCAAAGTAGATTTTCTGAATCAATGAACGTGATACTTTTAAAGCTCCCGAATTTTGAATTCGAATGATACGCGTGGCCAGTGAACAAAAATGATTTTATGAATTTTCCATAAATATGTCGTATTACGTTCAATAACATTAATTTGCATAATATTCGTAATAATACGTTGACCACACTATGTGGTCATCTCTTATAATGTTATGACAACATTCTATTAAGAGAAATATGATGGGAGAACAGACAATATTGTGGTTTATTTTTTGGTTTTCATTCTAGTTTCAACTGTTAACTATCAAATGGAACATTTCGTTTGAAATTTCATTTTCACTCGAATTCAATCAATTTGGTATTTTAGCAAAGCAATTATTTAACGAACCAGATGAAGAAGAAAATAATTTAATTTAATTGATGGCATCCTTGACATTGAGCATGTTTTTCTCTTTACTTTCATCTCTTCTTGAAAAATAAATATCCTCTTTTATAATTTCTTTTCTCTCATTGCACTCGTTTTTTTCGTGGTTTCTTTGTTCTTTCATTTCGCTTTATTAGAGGGAAAAATATTGCGACGACCATTTCACTGAATGGACGAGGGATAATGAAACGTATATACAAGAAGCAACCCCAAAGATCGAGATATAAAAACCAAATTCAATGTTTAAAGCATATCTGTACAAAGGCCACGAGATGATTCTTTGGTTTTCACACCATTTATACGGTAAACTTCGCACTTCGAAAAATTCAACATTATTCACTCTTTTTTAGTTGGAAAACCGCATTTGTAACACTAGGGGTACAAGTACATGCAATTCATGCGAATTTTGTACATAGTTGCGTATGCTAGTGAATATTTCATGTTGAATACATATGCGTACAAATTGGGGCTGGCTACCAATGAAAGTGCAAATCTTCATTAACGTTAACAATTTTTTATAGCGTAGATCTGGCAGATAAACAAGAAAAAACATTCATGATTCAAATGAATTTTCATCGCAAATATCCCCTAGGTATAACATATCCATCTGCTGAGAAGATTCTTCTCATAGGCTTTTATAAAAACGAACGTTCTGCGCAGCTCTCCATTTGATTAAATCGACCTTATTACGACCCTTTGTTCAAAATACAGTGCATGCAGGTGGGGTTTTGTGAAAATCATTTTCTTTCATTTCACTCCATTTTTATTTTTCTGATTTTCAGTCCATTTTCATCATCATCACGAACTTCCAGCGCCAAAATGCTGAATCATTAAATATGCTATTGTTTTTTTTTCTAGTTCACATTAATCGACAGCGCAACAAGTTTAAATAGAAAATCGAAGTACCATAGCTTGAGTGCATGCGATATTTGAAAAAAAAGATTTTACATCAAATATTGTTTAACAAATATTACACTCCCTTTTATAAAGAGTTGGTATCAGGCTGGTACTATATATATTGTCAACATTATGCTTTGGGTATTATTCAAAAACGACATTTTTAAGCTCGGATTTTGATACTACCATAACATACAGCACATTGTGTTAGGTTCATAAAATATAATTCAATGTTAAGCATGATAGGATATTCAAAAAAATTCTCTATGACATTGAAATTCTTTGAACTGTTGACTTTAGAACCTTGTACCGTTTGCAGGCGTCAAGCTTTTAGCTAAAATAAAAAACTTTTTCGACTTTATTCTTAGAGAGCGAGGGTCCAATAGTAGTAATTCAATTAGAAGACTTTTGTTGACGTTGATTGCGCAATAATTCAAAGCTTTCAAACATATAAACTTTTCGGAACTCACTCCTCGCCGTCACGAATCACGTTATTTCAAAAGTGTATCATCATTACATTATGTATTGTATGGTCGAACATTTGTTTCGAAATTGCGTTGCTAACTGTCTATTAATGTAATTCTGAAGCTTAATTCTTCTTTTTGTACCTTTTTTGCTATAAAAGATACACGTCCCGTACAAATTGCTCGAAATTTGGGACAACATCATTTTTTTCTACGTCCGATCAGGGAGAAACAAATTAGATTAATCTATTTTTATGTTCCATCATCAAAGTGAATTCTCCCTGAAATTCTTGATAAAGCCAAGTAACAAGCACATATAAAAATATTATAAAAATAGCTTCGGTTCGCTTATAGAATACATTTTTGTATTGGTTTCTATAGAAAGTGACAGAATTCAATTTTGAATTCAAATGTAACTTAAATTTTCATACAGACAAACCTGCAACGCGAGTTGACAGTGTTTTTAGTGATTACAAAACTATCCGAACAAATGCAAAGCAATTAAATTTTAATTGGATTTTCTTGTTCACATTAATCTGAACTAAGCACAATAATCGATTTCATCATCGAATTAATTTATTCATGATGTTGATGACACAATATGACAAAGTTTAAATCAACTCGCCGAACGGATTGGTGCTTTCGATACAGGCTATAATATCCGTTTCGAACATTTGACACGTTCAGTGGACTTAATACATTCACAACAACATTGTTTAATAATTTAATAAGACCAATCCTTATCACACTTTATGCCATTGCTTCTGAAACACACTTGAGAAATTGACCAAGAATGGAAATATATTAGAGGGTGTGTGTAACAAATACGAAAATTGAAATTAATATTTGATTTTGTGAATCAACAAATAGAGATTGGCACAGCAGCTACCTATGACAACATATAACTACGTGCCCACTTTTCGGGGTCGAAACAAGATTTCAAATTCATCGGATTCAACTTGATAAGATAA